AGCACCAAATTCTCAGGCAAACCTTGCACGTTTTGGCATGGCCTGTAACTCAAGGTCCCCCTCCCAGCCCGTGTCACTGACTCATCCCGGCCTGCTTCCCCCGCCCAGAGGCAGCAGATCAGGAAAGCACTCAAGGGAAGCACTCGGGTCCTCCCTGTGGTGAGGCTGCCACAGCTCCCTGCGAGGCCCAATTCGGCAGTGACATCCATTAAGGCAGCTCCTGGAACAGCGCTCACGGCCAAACCCGCTGCCGCGCTCTGTCAAACGGCCGGCACAAGTCAATAAAATTCCGTCCATCGTGGGATTGGCCGCAACAATGGGACACAAACAGACTTAGCCTTACGCACTGAAATGATGTCAAACAATTTAGCTTTGCCCGAGTTACTCAGACATTCTTGCAAAGCTCGGCCCTGTCCTCTCATGTCTCAAGCCTGGCTGTGCTGTTTGCCAAAGGGAGATGTGGAGCTGCACAACAGCCTTGGAGAAGGAGGAGAAAGGAAGGGTTCTTGCATTTCCTTTTGCCCCCCCTCAATCGAAAAAAAAACCTGAATAACAACTTAAAAAAAAAGGCAAAGAGCACAATAGATTTGGAGTACCAGGGTCCATGCCCTCACACTCCTGTAACTGGATCATATTGTTCCCCATGGCTTGGGAACCTGAAGGTGATGGCAGATGAACCGGCACGCAGCAATAGTGCTCCAAAAACTGGGCTTCCAGGAGCCTCAGGCCTGAGGCAGCAGGCGTGGGCACCTAGCTCTGGGCTCACAGACATACCCTGCTTAGGAAGCTGCCCCATGCTGGGCACCTCAGGCTGGCTCTCCATCAGCCTGGCTCCCATCAGTCAGGGGCAATGCTGCCATGCCACATTTTGGTCAGTCCTGGCCAGGAAACACACCTGGCATTTGATATTTGAACATCTGGTATTCAAAATGCACTAAACTGTATTTCTGCTTATTTGAAGGTATTATAAAGATATGAAAGTATTATAAAATACCTTCATAAAGAAATGCCACTAGGGAATCTATACAAGGAAATTTCCTTGCCAATATTCACCAGATAAATTCAACAAGAAGTTTTGATTATAAATTAGCATTTAAGTGACTCAGCCTTCGATATGGAATCAAAACTCACCTCTGGACACCTTGAACCTTTTTATGAATTAGAAAATTGAGCCCAGAGCTAAGGCAGGTGACCATTCACAGATGACCCTAATTCCACAACAGGGCAAAATCCCCAAACCATCAAACAGAAAACTCCCCCAGAATGGCTATGCAAGACATGCCTTGACTACCAAGTTAAGCTCATCCCAAACTGCTCCAGAGAATAAGCATTTAAAGCAGTTTTAACCCTGATTTGTCTGTGAAACTGTCTCATAGCCTATTTTTATGTTTATACTTATGAAAAATTGAATTAGAATTTTAATTTGACTCGAGCAACCTCTCATTTAGAGGTTTGCTTGCCCGCAGGCCATGGGCTTCATACCAAGTCAAGCCCTGCTCTCAACCAAAACCAGCCTGTGCTCCAGCTCCCAACCCCAGCAGCCACAGAGGAAGCTCTGCCCACCTGGGCAGCCAAGAGCCAGAAGGGAGGGCCTGGAGTAGCAGAGCTCCCAAAGCAGCCCATTGAACAGTTCCCTCTCGTGCACACCTCCTCCAGCTTGCCCAGGTCTGCTGCTCACAGAACCTGCTCTCACTTCCATTCAGTTCAGCGAGAGTAGGAGCAGCCCTGAATCTAGTCATAGTACAAGATTTTATTGCTGTCATGATAATTGATGACTACTTACACTGAGATTTTAATGAGTACCTGCACTTTTTTCTGTTTGTTCCTTAACTGGGTCATAAAGGAGGAGTCCCAAGCAGTTTCCTGGATTTGCAGTACAATAGGGACCTCTAGAGGTGCTTCCTTGTTCCCAACAAGGTTCAGGACAGGTAAGAGCAGCCACACCAGAGCTCTGTGACACACAGACCACAGAGCAGCCAGCACTGGGTTCAGCATTCACTGAAATCAGCAGGGCTATGAAGACCTTGCCTATGACAAGGCTGGAGCTGACTGAATCCAGCCTTCAGATTATTTATCGTGCAAATGGTCTGCTTTCAAACACACTTTGCCATGATACTTTTCAGGATAGCTCTGAAAGTTAAAACACAAACAGTAAATCGGCACTCATATCACACGTCAGAGAACTGAAATGAACATTCAAAAAGAAACTCTGTTTGCATCCAACTTGCATCTTACTAAATCTGACCCATCTTTGCCCTCTCTCAATACTTACTGTGTTACTGATCTACCCAAGCATCATTTCTTAAAAGAACTCAAAGAAGAATTATCTACTTTTTAAAAAGGTTTGAAGTCTGATGTCTCTCCATCATGTGGGTTTAATCCCTCCTTGCTTTAGTTCTCCACAGAACATCATTCTTAAAGCCTTGCTTCCTAGGGATGGTCTACAGGCAAGCCATTAAGAACTGCAGCCTTCAAGGGTGACAGGAATTATTCTGAACTAAATTATAAAATCAATTACATTACCAAATTAGCCTTCTCCTTGTGGGATGCTACAGTGTATTTCATTGACCAGAAATGAAACAAAACATGTAACAGGTGTAAAGAATTACCAAGCTCTAAAACTTGGCTGAGAGGAATATGATTTTTTGGGTTTGATTTTGGGATTTTGTTGGAGGTGGAGAGGAGAGTTGGGGTGGGTTTTTTTTTTTGGCGGGGGGGTGTCTTGTTTTGGTTTCTTTTCTTGCATGAAGTTGAGAGTCACCAGGAAGTGACTAGTTTCACAGCTAGTTCTTAGTACACAAACACAAGGCAGGACTGCATGCTGCAGCAGCACGAATCAGATTTGTGCTTTTACTAGAAGTGGGGTGGAGAAGAAACCCTGGTGTGTCATTATCCAAATATACTGTGGGTTACTAGGAATAAGAGAAAATCTCCAATGAAAAACTGTCTCCTACCTGCCTGCCAGCCACCAGTGTGCCCCAGCCTGTTGCCAACAGGTGGGACAGGGACACTGCACTGGGAGCATCAATCCAGCTCATTACACTTCCCTCCAAAATCAAATCAAGTGTCTTGAAAGCCATCTTTTCCCCAGGCTTGCATCTCACTGTTTGCAAAAGACCTTGCTGGGATCAGGGAAACTGCAGGCCACCCACACACCTGAGCAGAAAAGGGGAAGATGAATTCAGGGAAGATGTTCCAGCGGCAACCCAGCACACCTGCACAGCAGCTGCAGATGCCAGTGAAGCCGGTTCAAGGCTGGGTGGCTCAAGGGCAACTCAGCTTGAGAGGTGTGCTGCAGGAAAAGCCAGTGTGGTTCCAGCAGCTTGGATCATTGACAGGGCAAGTGCTCTGTCCTTCCAAAAAGAAGATCCCAGTCTTCGATGTCTCTGGCTTGGCCCTGCTGAGCTGCTGCCCCTCACAGCTGAGGCAGCCCTGCCTAAAAGTCACACAAACGCAGGGGCTCCTCTTGAAATGATAGGTTTTGGCACATGCAGCTGGAAAGGGAAGGAGAAGCTTACAACTCACTTAATTATGCCACTACAGAAAGAGTCTGAGCCTGATAAATGAGCTAGGAAAGATGATCCTGATCCTCTGACAGGCCAGTTCTGCAGGAAATTCAGCACTGTAAGCAGCAACACACCATTCCAGGCTGGCAGCATCTGTCACTTATCAAGGAAGGGCTCAGCAGGGCTGACTCCCTGAAGCAATCTGAGGCCATGCAGATTCCCCTCAGCCCAACTGCACTGTGAGTCAGTTCATGCAGCACACAGCTGGGGCTGCTCCAAGGCTGTGCTTCTGCAGGGTGGGCACACAGCACCCAAGTGGCAAGGAACCCTGTGCTGAAAGCCGTGACTCCACTTGGAAAAAGAAAATAAAGCAAGCATCTTCTTTTCCTTCCTGCCTTGCCTTCTTCCCATCTTCATCTTTGCATTTTATTCTCATTCTGTCCTGACATCAAGTCTCATTTTGCATGGCACAGGCTCATCTGGTGCTTCACTCTCCAGTTTTTCTTCCACTAGCAGAAAAATATCAGCAACCTCTCACTTCCAAGCCACCTTGGGCCTGAAAGCCAACTAGAAAAAACATATTTCGCTATGTCATCCCCTGCTAAATTGTGACCCCCCTAAGTAGACCTTTGTAACCAAACATTGAAAAAAATCAAGTCAGTGCATGCTGCTGTAGGTGCAAAATGGCTCAGTGCAATGAGTAAATACGACTGAAAAGGCACTTGCATATCCTGCAGGGTACCTGCTTGGCCTTTAGTACACAAACGGTGTAACAAACATCAGTAAGAGGACATGCAGATAAAAAGGCATCTCACTCCAACAGTTCTCTTTGGGCAAGGTGAAGTCCAGTTGTTCCAAGTTGTGCCCTTAGAACTTGTGTGACAAATGCATGGATGCCTGAGCCAGTTGTGTAGGGTGTGTGTCTGCTCCAAGACAACCTCCTCGATGGGGAAGGGCTAATCCTTGGGAAGTGAATCCAACACTGGCAGTGTGAGCACAGGAAGAGAAAGATTCACTCATATGACAAAAATTCTAAGGCTTTTCATCCTTGGGATATTCAGCTCTACAATTTTCTCCTGAGACCAACAAGCAGGATCTCTCACCTAATAACATGCAACACTCCTAATAACATGCACATCTTCCATTTCCATGTGAGATGGATGAAGGGAGTTTTTCATTTGCGAGGATGTGCAGACTGTAATTTATACCTAATTGCCCTCTCACCACGTATGTGTGACAGAAAAATGGTAGGACAGACTTGAGGACTGTGAAGAGCACAAGTTACCCAGCAGTGGAACCTAAGAAAAGGTCAGAAGAATGTACAGTGCAAAGATCAAAGGTTTGACTGGAGATGAAGAAGACAAAAAGGTTGAGGGTTGGAAGATACTGGTGCCAATGTACAGAGGAGAGGGTTGGTGTTCATCCACTCCTCACCAGCAATCCTTTTTGTGTGTCCGTATGCTGCTTGCTCCCTCTGTTGCATGGAATTCCAAGCAGTGTGTGATGTGCCATTTTATTTACTAGTATCACAGAACCAAGATGGCTCAGCTACTGATCAGGATGCCCACATGAGAAGCCCCCTGAGCTTCAAACCATTCAAGTGCCACATGCATCTTTACCCTTTCAAACCCCACCTTTCATACACATTTCAGCATTGCCACCATAGTCTTACAAATACACTTTTTTTCAATGAACAACATCCATCCTTGTTGTGAAAATTAACTCACAAAACAAAGAAACTGAGCTTTCAGCAGGGCACCTTAATTTAGGAGCCAATATTACTCCACAAGACCTCAAAGTACCAATTGCCTTTCTCTGGTAGATGGCCGAGCACAGCAGATGAGTCTACAATGTGCAACAGCTGAAATGAAAATCTCTGGGAGCCATCTCTAGTCACATCAGCACTGACAAACACTCCAGCTTGCAGTGAGACATCTCAGGTAGCGTCATCATCTTCAGAACCCATTTGCTTCCCTCTTCCTTGAACCAAATCTTTGTACCTTCCCAATTCTTTGTAGATAAGATGAATGGAACCAAGCATCCGATATGCAATCTGTTAGTCCATGATGGAACCAAATCCCTAAAATAATTTCTTTCTTATTTGAGTGGTCACATTGTCTCCATAATGTGCAAATGGAACAGAGAAAAGTCTGTTTCCTGGGAAAAAAACTGTAGTGAAGTTTCATAACAAAATTGCAGCTTCTCTAGCAATTGAAGCCTTGTGCAGAAATCAGGGTGCAGCAAGGCAATGTTCTGCCTGAAATTCCATGGAACTAAGGAGTTGCCTTAAGATGTTTGGGAAGAGGAGAGCTCCTTGTCACAAGCATGCTCCATAATCCATTTTGAGAAAGGCGTCTGGTTGCTTTGCTTATGAAAATAATAAAAACACACCATGCCCAGAGGTGTCATGGTCTGATTTTTCAGGAATTGCTTACTCTCTATATTCTAATTTAAGGATGGTTTTGAGAACCAGTCATTTTCCTCAGTCCAAAGCATTTGTTGTCCTTTACGGCACCAGAAGCCCGTGTTTGGCCCAGCACACCAAAGATAACCATTGGATTGGGAGAGGGCTGTTTATCCACATACACAGCCAGCAGACACCAAAATCAGAACCCCAACGGTCAGTTGTCAGTGCATGATGTCCAGAATACAGCTCCGCTGTGAGGGAAGTGGTGCTTATCCTCCAGAGAAGAAAAAAAAAAAGGAAAAAAAAAACAAAAAACAAACAAAACACACAAGAGACCAAAACAAAACACTGTACAAGTGCTTGAAATGATTGAAAACTGCTAAAACCAACCAGTCCTCCCCATGGCAAACACTGGGCACAGGATAGTGCCCAGAGGCCTGCCAGTGTCCTCAGCTGCTTGGACCTCAGCATGCTCCACCCTCACCCAAGAGAGCAAGTCTTTCTTCAACAACACACAGAGCCTGTCAGTCCTGCGGGAGTTCCCTTGGCGCTCCTCTGCCGTTCCCTTGAGCTCATCTCCTCAGCCAGGCCGGGGTACCTGTCCGATGGTGCAGGGAGCCTTCCTCCTCAGCAGGCAACTTGGTGAGTGTTCCAGCACTGGGGCTTCACAACGCCGTCTCACCCACGCACAACTTGTAGGGTGATTTCAGTTTCCTGCATCTAAAGCAGACACCATCACATGATTTCTATTGGCCAAACCTGAAACTGCAGCAGCCTGCAAGAACCAAAACCCAACCCCCTAACTCACTTAGACAGCCCAGAGGAGCCCCACGGTTCAGACAACTGCACCACTGGCCACACCAGTAGATCAGAAATCGGAGGTATAGAGCGTTAGTTCCTTTAACATCACCTCAGAGATGAACAGCAGGCAAAACCACAAACCCAGTGCCCTCAAAACCCTGCCCACTGAAATTCAGATCAATGTAATCAGAAGGCTCCAGATTTCCTGTACCTCTTTCTTACGTAGTAGTAGATGATGGCAAGTATTCCACTGGTCAGTATTCCTATACCAATCCCCACAGCAATGTAGCGCTCGTAAGAATTATGTGCATATGAATTTAGTGTTAAATGTTCACACCTCTCTCCATTATAACCTGCAAGGCACCTACAAAATAAATACACATCATGCAAAAAATTATTCAGAGCTTGTTTCACTTTCTATTTCAAACACATTAGTTTTCATCAGTTTTGAACAGATCACAAAACATCTAAACGAGGGAGGGCTGAACCTGGTGCTCACTCAGAACCTCTTCCCTCCACCAAGACTACCAGTTGTCCCAGTTTATCTAGGTTAAACCTAGCTTGAGTACTGCAATCACAGCAGCACACAGTCTAAACATCGCCTGGTTCTGCAGGGTGTGGATGAAGAGCGCTGTGCTCTGCTGATCCTTAGCTGTTGTAATGTCTCCAGAGGCCAAGACTATCCACTGTGCATCCTAGAGAATTGTAAGGACACCATGGTCCTGACTGGTATGCAGTTGTGGAATATGGGAGTTGGAGCTGATATGTTGGAAGGTGCTGTTCCCTTCTTAGTACTCACTGTGAACATCTACCAATTCCTTTATTACGTACTCCAGCATCAGCTGTAATTTGAGATGGCACCGTGGCAGTGACCTGCAAAGCTGTGAATTCCCCCTCTCCCTTCCTTAGTTTGACACTAGCACAGCAATACAGCGTTGTTTGCAGTCCTGAGGCACCATGGCACTCAGGTCTGTCCCAAAGTTTAATCCTGCAAATACCTGACCGACACTGTGAAGCTGCACACCCAGCACATGAAGAATCAATGGCAGTGCCATTTTTGAAGAAGGATATAATAGGCAGTTCCTTACTTGCATATGGGCTTCCTCAGTTCGCTGTGGAAGGCACAGAGCCCATTGATACAATAGCTGTGGTGTTCTTCAAGGCAGGTCTGCATCAGCTTCAAGAGCTTTGGCTGCTCTGTATAATCTACTGTGAAAGAACAAAGTCACGTTATGTTTAGGACAAAGCATCATTTGAACCTATTTTCACACCTGGAGAACAGACACTGTGGAGCACATCAATTTACTGTGTGGTGTCTTGTGAGCTGATTCAGTCAGCACTGAACAGAGCAAGCTTCCCAGACAGTTCAGCACAGCTTTGAGAAGCACAAATTGTAAATAAATCACCTGCTCTTGAGGAACAAGTACAGAAATGACTATGGGAGATTCACACAGGGTAACATCAGCACCCACCCATTCTGCAATCCAATCAGAAAAACTATCCCAGCAATAGCAGGGGTTTAGGACACAAGGCAAGCACTGAATTATTCTCAGTATCCTTCCCAGTCTGAATTCAGTTAATGGTTAATTTTTTCTTTTCCTTGTCCCAAGACAAACTATCACATTTCTAGTGCTCCTGCCTGCCAGCTCTGTAGCCATGAGTGAGGATGAATGGTGGGACTCCTCCCACCCTTCTCCACAGTTCAATGCCAAGATTCTGTGGATAGTTTTTGCTGCGAAAAGCACAGTCCATGGTTAGTGAGGCTCTGAACTGGTGCTGAATTCTACACAACCAGGTCAGCAGGCACACTTCTGGAACAGAAAATGCTACCTTATTCCCTTATTCGGAGTGGTTCAAATGGGAAGAAGTCCTGGGAACACGGGCACAGTCAGTAAAGAGAAAGCTCCAAAGCTTTGCCATCGCTGCAGGCATCTGTTCCAACTGGTCTCTCTACCCAGTTCCGGGAATCACTTGGTGGGGTGGGGTGTCCAAGCAATGACTTGCTATTTCAGGGGACTGCCTCAGTGACAGCTGAAGGTGATTTCCTAACAGAGTGCATGTCAACAGCAGCTTTCAGTTATGACCACAAGAAAAATAACATCTTGCAGCAAGGTGACAAGGTCTGCTCAACAAAGGTGACTCAAAGGTAGAGCAAGCAGAAGCCTTCCTTTCTGACTAAGTGCTGAATCAAGGTCTGGAGATAGTACAATCGTGGAACCATTGCCACGGACACAAGCCTCAAGCTTCCTTGAGGGCAACTTGTGATCCCATCACACACTTTCCAGGATTAACAGCACCAAGCCCCTAAATTCCCAATCAAATTCCAGTCTGAGCCATTTAATGGCAGGAACCTTCTTTGTGTGCTCTTCTAAGTAGTTTTGGGGGTTTTTGTCTTCCTCCTCTCTGCAGCTTTATCAGAGGTGACAAGCAATGGCAAACAGCTGCTCTTGCTAGAGCAGCTCTCCACTTCAGCTGTGAATGATGTGGTTTGGACACCCAAAAGGCATGATGCTATCACTGACACTCAGATCAAACAATTCCTTTGACAACAGTGTTTCTCAAACCTGACAGAGTAACCAGACTTGCAGCTTAGGAAAAGACTTAGGGAGAAGAAGTGAGAATTCAGGTCTGCTTGAGAAATGACATGTTGGCTTACTGCACTTCCTCAGAAAAGCTACAGAGGTGGGAGAAGCATGTCTTGTTTTAAAATGAACTTCTAGTGGCTGAGAAAAGGATATCTTATCCATCCTTCCATGGAGAAAAAGTTACCCACAAGTTTCTCTTCACAGTGTGGGGCGTAGAAACATAAGGGAGGAAGTTGGTGCTGGCTAAATAGAAGCTCTAGTATCCAGCTTTGGCTCTGGGAATGCTGCTGACAACCTCTGGAGATGGGCTTGTTGGCTAAGAGCACAGTCCTCAAAGAACCAGGTCTTGGAGAGACTGACTTAAGGAGGAAGAAAGGGCAGTTCCCATGAAAAAAGGCACATTTTGGGACAAGAGATGGATGACCCTACTGGCTGCACAGGAGAAGTGTATGCTGTTCTCTGATGAGGAAAACAATGGAAAGCACGCAATCAGCAGAGCTGAAGGGCTCAGCATGCCAAGGAGATCCAGGATGCTGGGGACTCACAAAAGCCCACTCTGGTTAGGTCTCAAGTACCTGCAGAACAGCTACCTAAGCTCTGCAGGGAAGAGTTTCATAAAACAGACAACGGCACATCTACACTTTTCCCAGGAGCCTCCTCAAACACTTGGGCACCAACTGTTTTGAATCACCACTTCAGCACAAAGTCCACTAAGAAAAATCACTGAAAATACCCTTTAATGGGAGACCTCAGCCAGCATTTCCCACTTCCCAAAAGTACCACTCTCCTGCTAGGCCCTGAGAAGATCTCTACTGCGCAGGTTTTTCACTTCCATCTCTTCCATGAGGGGAAGAAAGAAAATAAACATGAGGAAGGTACAAATTCACACCCTAGAGGCACAAAATCCCCAGCCACCTCTACCCCAACTTCGACCAGATGGGTTTCCACATCCCAAAATCTCTCCTCGCCCACACCAGCGCTGCCGAAAGGTGGCAGACTTCCACTGAACCACATCTGCAGGAAACCTGGCTTTGCACAGGCACCTCTTCCCTGAGTGCTGGTGTCACTAGAAACCCAGGTCAGCCTGGAGCAGCAGCCTGCCTAGAAAGCACTTGAGACAAACCAACACATTCCTTTGCCGCAGTCAGGAGGAACAGCTCGGTCCACTGTGGGTAAGATCAGCTATTAAGTCTATACACAAAAATTCCATGTGCTAATTATTTTAACACTGCAAAAGTACAAATTGCCTCTGAAAGAATGAGTCTGGAAAACAAAAAGGATGATTTCCTAGCCTGCCCCAGAGCATTATCGTACTGTCTGCCTAGATACTAAACAAGCTGTTGAATAAACAGGCCCATGTGCCCTTTCATGTCACGTGAGGAGAGAGAAACATGCCGTGTAAGCACTTGACAGCTGCCTGCAACTGAGTCATTCAAAGAGATACACCTGGCAAGATCTGACATGAAGTCGGGGTTACAGGTACTTGGAAGCCTGGCCTTGCCAAAACTAACAGACTGGCAACAAAAGGAGTCGGCCAGTAAGACCATGACAGCTCAGTCCCCAAGTATGGTGCATGGGGGAGGAAAGGCAGTGGGAAAGAGGAGGCAGGAACAGCCCCAGGTCCAGGGCCTCCTTTTACAGGCTGTATGGAACCAGCTGATGGCAATCAAGAGAGTCCATTTTTCTCCCAGGTTAACGGAGACTTTCCCTACTCCTGGCTGCCCCTTTTGCTACAAAGGCTGTCTGTCAGCCCCAACTCCACCCAAAGTTCTTTGTCTATGCCATGCCAGCTCCCAGCTCCTCTCCATGACCTTTCTCTCTCTCAGCTAATCACTGAGCCTAAAATTCCAGGCCCCAGCACTGGCGACAAGTAAAGCCTATGTGACATCAAAGGAGGAAATAGGACCAGTTCCTGTAAATAGCAGGCAAAAAAATTGAGCAGAAATTAATGTTTTTCCACAAACAGCACTTCAGTCACCAAAGGACTTGAATCCCAAAAGAAACTGACAGTTTCTCCAGCGATACTGAACCAGGAATTCATGTCCTTAGAATCCAGTGTGGCTGAATCCTAGCACTAAATCTTAGCACAAACTTACACTGCACAGGAATAGAAGCTACCAAGAACCTGGAGAGATTCAGTGAGTTTCTCTGTTGTCTTTTTAAGCATTTCTTTTCAATCTTCTTTCTGGAAAGGCTGTTGATTAATTTTTTCACTGGATTTGTACGAGGTCCACCAGAATATAATTTTAACTTCCCGTGTAAATGTGTGCTTCAATGTTTGTGAATTTGATTCTGCCATTGAGTGGAATTCTCTCAAAGGAAAGTGCTGGTGTCCTGTTGACTACCACAGCTCCAGCTGCCACAAAGGGTCACCGATTACTGTAGACATGGCTGTGACCCTGTAAATATGCCACCTCTTTGTTGAAACATGACCCACTGCTCCTGCTTTCTAGAAACAACACTATCAGGGCACATAACAAGCCACAAGGTATTTCCATTTTATTATCCTCCTGTTTGCTGTATGCACCTCTTCAATAATCGTGTCACAGACAAAACAAGACCACAGTGCTGCACTGATAAACCAAAGTACTGCGGTCAAAAATCAACACCTTACCAATTTCACATGCATACAAGTGTGTATCCATACTTTGTGTATATATAGAACTCATGCATACAGTATGTGTATGGATTAATGTACATATAACACTCTTTCACTATGAGACATCAGAAATGAAAATAAGACAGCTGGACTTGCTATAAGAAAATAATAAAAAGCTTATGGCTCTACTAAAAAAGGCTTGGAAGATGTCCTGTGACAACTTAGAATTAACAGAGGATTATTTGTATGCCTGATTATATCCCTTTCAAAGTACAGAAACACTAAAAATTATCGCAGTTAGATTCCTCTCCTCCTTTACTGACCTGCCAAAACCTCATTCCCAGACAGCACAGCTCTCCAAAAGCAATGACATCACCAGCATCTCAGCTAACATCAAGAACGCAGCTGGCAGGATAAACACAGCTCTGCTCTCAGAGGTTGGCAGGTAAAATAGCCTGAGCTCACATTTCAGTCAGGAAAGAGAAAGGAAGAAGGGAGAGAGCCAGCACTCTGAGGGCTGTGAAAGCCCAGACAGCCAAAAGCAAAACTGCAACAAAGACAGAAACTACTGAGTAACAACTCATGACAGGCATCGCTCAAAGTTGTGCCCGTTCGTTCTCACTTCTGTGCATTAAGGTGCATGCCGAGGACAGACAGAAACCAAGCACCAGGTGAAAGTAACATAAATTGCCATCAGTAACCCCCTCCTTCAAATTATGACTGAACTTGAGTTAAATGATGCTTCAGCTGCTCATTGCTGAGCCTATCCCAGCTGGGTGGCAGCCCTTACTCCAGAGAGGTTTCAAAGGCTCCGTGAAGAAATCAGCTCATCTCACAAATCCAACAGTGTCCAAGGGATGGAGCATCACAGCAGCTAACATAACAGATTATGGTGGAGGTTTTGGTTTGTTGGTTGTGTTTTTTTCCTAACTGATTAACAGAGACAAACAGAACAAAAAAACAGTACCTTCAGCGTTGTTTTTTGTCCAATTATTCCGTAAGTCAGTGCTGAGGGATGAAGCAGT